GGGTGCAGTCTTGCAGGCACATCGCCTTGTCTTTTTTTAGTTTATTAACACCAAATTATTTAAAAGTATCGATAAGAGTATCGAAAAATACCGATACCGATAAGCAGTACCGGTACCGGTATCGATAAAATCCTAACGATACCCATCCCTAATAATAATAAACACATTTTATTAAGAATCAATGTAATGTTTACAACAAGCTGAAGTGCAGACGATGGGGGGGCAGGGGAGGAGCTGCCAGAGAAAACTGTCATCATACCAAAGCAAAATAGTTAAAATATGTGTTTTTGTTAGTATGCTAGTTGCTAAGTGTACATTTACTATGTATGTAGCTACAGGGAACCGGTCAGGTAGTGTAAAGTTGGTCACTTTTAGGGCAAGTTCCATTTAATAAGACAATTAACCTGCAATCATCTTGAGTTCACTGGAACTTTGGTGGATATCATTTGAGACATGACAGATATCACGTACAGATTGAAATTCATGAGTCACCAATGCTCAACCAAGCTCTGTTAGTACATGGTTTTATTACAGCTTCACTAGAAAAACTGTTAGATAATGCTAAACTAAACAATAATGTTGTACCAGACCTCTGTACACTTGGGTTTTGAATACATTAAGTCCCATTATACATTAAACAACGTAATATTGCTTGAATCTGCTGTAGTGTTCAAGGGTCAGCTGACTGGAAACATGTAAACAGTCTAATTTGCTTCAGGAATGCATTTGCCACACTGGCCTTTGTCTGACCTGCAAGGTACAAGAAACAGCCACCAAGTAAGACTTTAATCCGGAGCTAAGAGAAATCACAAAAGCAAATGGACTTGGGCCATATTTGTAAGTCATACACACAACATCAACCTCAGCTAACCTCAGCTTTGCTGTTAGTCCTCCAAATTGGATCTGCATAATAGCAAGTTCAATAAGGTCTTGGTATTTCAATTCATTAACCTTCTCTTTTGTATGTTACTGTTTTCAGAATAAAATACATCTGAAAATGTCCCATTCCCTAATCTTGATGATATCTTAATGGCTTCTACCAGGGAGTTGGGTTTTACAATGTTTGTCTGACTCAACTTTCAGGAATACGCTAATCTTCACATGACACCATTGAATAGGACACGGTTGAAGGGGGGGGGGAAAGGGTGATTGTCTTCCAGCACTAAAATGTTCTTACATTAAGTGCTTGATGCAGAACACATCCCTCAAACAGTTAAAAACATTCCATTAGGATTACTTACAGACTCCTTTTAAGGATTTACTGAAGCAGACTATAATATGCATGTTGGTTAGACATCAGCAAGCTTTTGATGAGTCAACCAGAGCAACAGAGGCTAAACCTGACCTGAGTCGGGGTACATCCAGCCGCTCATGACACAGCAGGAGCTGCTTTTTTATGAGGACTTCCTTCATTCTGTCCTTTCATCTAGCAACGCGATTCTAGGTTTGTGGTACTTTGCTGGATCGTGGGGGGGGGCAGAAAATGGCATTGATGAGTTTGAGCTTCATTCATTTATGTAAAATGGTTCCATGGTAATTAGGATGGGACATTAGATTAGTCCATTTTGTGACGAGCACTTAAATGGTGTTGTGTCTCCAAAACAGGATGAAATGGACATAGACCAATGGGAATAAGACCTGACTTATTATTATCATGAATGAATTGCAATGCATCTATGTCTGATTTAGAAGTTGGAAAAAAGACTAGGAGAAAATAATCGGAAATCAGAGATTTTGTGCGCCATAATACTAATATATATTTGATAAAGTACATATTATTATGATAATAAGAATACATGTTATTTATATAGCGCTTTTCCTGGTGTTCAAAGCGGAGACATTATGAACATTAAATTCCAAAACTGTGATGGGAATATTTATTTTTGGCCATTCCATTAAAAGACCTGTAAAAGTAAGATACCTCATCACATTACAGTATGAGTGCTGTAAATCCAATATTGTCATGCAATGATTGTCATATGTAATTGTAATGCTATCTACCAAAGTCTAAATACGCAAACATATTTTTGTTTAATGCAAGCCTGACAAAATGTAAGACTGACACAAATCTGTCCTTACATCCAAGTAAACAACCAGCCCTCAAGTTTTGTCTTGTGCCAAGTCAGCCACCCTGCAAACATCCTCTTCCAACCGCATCCTGATCTCTTAACAGGGACACTGTGAGGTATGATAAAAACATGTCGCACATCCCAATGAACGTCTGCCTCCCAGCAACACCCTGTGACCTCACAGAGTCATCGAAGCGCATTCTGACTGAATAAGGGAGGTACATCGAAAGCAACAAAGGTCAATATAACTGATCAATACAACAATGGCTCATCACTCTACTGAGACAAGGATAAGAGTCTTTGCCCTGTCAGGTCAGGATCTTACTGATACACTAAGCCACACTCTGAGTCTTCTTGCTATGTGATGATGTATGGTCCAATCTGGGTCAGCTGGAATAATATAGCATTGTTACTGTTGTTGAAGTCAGTGTGCAGTCACTCAAAAACTAAAAACAGATGAGAATTTGAGTGACCTTTGACTCATAACATGGTGCCAGACGTCTGTAGTATAAGACAACATACCTCTGGGAATAAGTCAGGTGCATCAAAACAACATCCCCTTAAAATGTATAAGCATCAACAAAGATTGCGTACTTCCTTGCATTATTCAGTTTGTGACTCATCTAAAAACTCATACAGTTTTTCCTCTTGGGTAAACACACCAGAGAGAGAAGACTGAAAGAAGAAAATGTCAAGGTCACACTGTCAGCCTTCAACTAGAAACTTTTTTACACTGCATTTACTAGATTTAAACATCAGGAGCTTCTAACTCCACATTGGATGCAGGTATGTTGTATACAATTATGAAATATAAATGTGGTCAATAGAAGTCATGAATGAGGATGCATACAATAAAAATGTACCATAACAAATGCTATTCCCCCCTAAGAGTTAACACAAGTACATATAATAAACTGTTTTTCAGATCTGACATAGATGTCGAGCCGTTTGAATGCGGCATGTCCGTATTGTGTCCGTATTGTGGCCATGCCAAATTTGACAATAGAATAAGGACAAACTTCCAGAGATTAAAGGCTTTTAAACTTCATAATTGTGTCAAGGATGAAGATATTTCAATATATATGATTGGGAGTACATATTGCCACCATCCACCACATTCCACAGGCTATTCCTTCCGACATGTACAGAACAGCTTAATGGCTAAACTGAATTAAAAACGGGGCTGGCAGATAACCACTGATGCACCATCACAGTGCATGGTACAATGCAGATACAAATGTCAGATATATTACAGTACTGCGTAGTTAAATCGTCAGTGGCTCTATTAAAACCAGCAGACCGTGACATTCCCAAACGTGCAGAGTCTGCGAGTCCTTGGATAACGTTTCAAAATGCACCGTGTTTGTCAAGGGATTCAGGGGGAACAGTTCTTCTTACCATGGAATCCTGTGCGTTTATAATCCATTCGTATAATGTGGCGGGAATAAATCCATGTCCGTGTTTGTATCCCGATTCCCCTCGTGGAATTCACTGTTGTTGTCTATTATTTAAGTAGATAATGCTCGTTAAGGCCAGAGCAAGAAGCCACACACAGTAGAGGAGAAGGCGCAACTTGAAACTGACAGAGGGGGATCAGTCGATACCATCACAACGGCAAGGAGGGGGGAGCGAACAAGTCTAAAAATAACAATATGTTAACAAAACATTGCTTAGTTATTAATTTCCCCGAAATTCGTTGGAAAACGACACTGAGACAGACTATACATGGATATTGGGACAGCACTTTGTAATGTTTGCATAAATCTGGATAGATTTGAATAGTTAGATAATAAACCCCCCGCTAGACGTTGGAGTGAGCCTGCACGTTTTAACTCGGTTTAATCCGATTGGTCTCTTCTAAAGTGACGTAACAGTGCTGCTGCATTCATTGGTGTCAGAAACATTAGAACTGGTTTACACAACAGGAGAAGGCTGGCGGGTATTTACATGTAGCTGAATTGCAGAGTTTTTACAACAATTCTCATTTACTGTAAAGTATTCTTTGATATGATGTGTTTGGTTGTGCACCCTAAATAAATAGGAAATGTACCTGACACGAGACGTTAGGACAGATAATTGTCAACAACTGATTACCCTTAAGAGTGCTTAATGACGAATTATTATCAAATGTAATGATTGCACAGACACACTAATCACTGTTAACAGTCAAGTAGATTTCAAAAATCAAATTCTATGAAAAACATATATTTAGTCTTTCTAGGATTTATTAAAAAAAACAATGCATTGTCTCCTGACTACATAGTGGCTGGTTTGTTTATTGAGTTATCAGAGTAATTCAATGAGCACGTTGTTTAGGGCACCCATTCATTTTACATGGCCACTGTAAAATTAGTATAGGCAGCATTAAAATGAAAGATAAGTTACAATTGAGTTTGTGTGTCTGTGCAAGAGTCTTTTTCACTGTATGGAATCTTGAAAAACACCATTCCCATTGAATTCCAACACAGCCATTTCTGTTTGTTTTCTAACAAAGAATAGAAATGGATAGCGCAGTGGGTTTTATAATTGCTGAAGTTTGCCTTGGTGGAAAACCACTTAAGATTACAAGTTGGGAAAATTACAAGTTTCAAACAATCGCCTTCAAATGCCAAGATATCACATGAAAAACAGTTTAGTGGGTCTCTGGCGGCTTCCCACAGACAGAAATATGCATCGCTGATACACTGCTTTGTTTTGTCCTCATTACGACACAATCCAAGATTATACTCATGTTACAGAAACATATTGTACACATCAGAGCAACCCAGACTGCACATCCAAAGAATGTATTAAAAGCTGTAATGATTATCCTAAGTGTCTTGGCTGATTAAAAGGAAAGGTCAATGGTATGCAGGCTCTTCGTAAAACTCTCTCAACTATCAAAGTCACTGCCGATTCCAAAGTGCTTCTGCCAGCAACTGGATCGAAGGCTAACAAAAACCAAGAATTCTCAAAATATATTAACTCATGACAACATGGATCATCTTCTAAGCCGATGCTGGAAGGAGGAACCCCTCTGCTTCTATCAGCTCTCTGCAAAATACAGAGTCGGTCTCTCCCTCTCGAGCATCCAGCAAGGCGGACACCTCCCTGTCGCCTTGTCTGTCACTGGACAGATAGGCCTGTGTGGCTGCTTTTTGAGACATCACAGAGACACGTGTGGCAGATGTAATCCCTCACAAAGATGTTGTGCAAACTTCCACTTGAAGACAGCCACGTGGAAAGATCAGCTGTTAGAATATTTTAGTTCATTTTACAGACCCTTTATCAAGTATTTAAAAGTGTTCAAAGCAAAACCTCTGTTCTGCCACAAGAGGGGAGAGCTTCAGTGATATGTAATTGGATAATAGTTAAGAGAAGAGATACAGAAATATGTTTTTAATATGGCACCATATGCCATGACTATAAATAGTATAATCAATGCTTGAATTGGGCCGGTACTCACCGGTACGCAGTACCGGCACTTCTGATTTTTACCCATGTGGTACCGGCACTTCTTACTGAGTACCGGCAAGGTGCCGGTACTCAGTAAAATGCCGGTACTCAGCCGCCGGCCATATACGTATATATTGTAAACGCAACGCAGCGCAAATGTGGGTCTGACTCTGCCTCACAGAGGGTGACTGGCTGTCTACATGACGTGGCCTGCCGACATTGCCACTTTCATACAGATCATACTAATGCCCTCGATTGGTCTCTGTGTGTCATTCAAGCTCGGGAGGGTGTGTGTTGGTGTATGTGTGGCGCGAGCGAGCGAGAAAGCGCGCGCACCGGTTACGTGTATTGTTGTTAGCATCTGGTGCTAGCTAGCTGCGCTAACGGATATAAGGAGCTGTTTCAACAACAAGGTGGAGGGAGAGTCCTTTGCTGTCAGACTGAGAGGCTGATAACTACAGCTCTGGTGAGGTAAATTACTCTCTGAGTCTTTAGATAGTTAACTTAGTTTAAGTTATCTCAGTGGTTCTCAAACGGTTCGGTCACCATTTATGTAAACACATATTTCCATTTGAGGGGGTAGTGATTAGTAAAATATGCATGAATAATACAAACAAAATGTTAACTAGGTGAAAAAAGGTAAGATAAACTTGTTGAGAGCTAAAACTAGTCTTTGCTGTTGCCTCAAAGAGGAGCAGGGGGGAGAGGAGGGAGACAGGAGAGGCCGATTCAGGAGCCCAGACACACTCACAACTATAAATGAACCAAAAACAAATAAATAAACAAGTTTCAATGTTTTTTCATATTGGATATTGTATGTTATTGGTTATGGCCATGTACTTATGATTTTATGATTATTTAAATGTATACATTTTTGTTTCATATGGGTGTAGTCTCTTTATTTCCCCCTCAAAATGCACCAGATTGATGCATTTAAGTCCAACATTTAAAAAAAAATCAGGCCTGCCCCACTGTTCCCAAATAGATTTGCAATTTTTTTTAAATAGTAACCCATCTCCATATGTTTCTTTTTGGGTAGTAGATTTAAACTAGAGGGCTATCACTTTGTGCAGCAACGCTATTGACAAATAAATCCAGCAAAATGGCACAAAAAACTGGTAGTGGCCTCAGGGACGAGGAGACATTTAACCAGCCAGTAGGAGTCAAGCTTTACTTTCTTTTATATCCATAAAGAAAAAGTAAATCTGTTTACAGTTGTTTCATTATGGATGTTGAGAGGTATCCATATATCTCTTCATTTTGCTCTCAAGGTGCACCAGATTGATGCATCTAACTTCAATATTTAAAAAAAAAATTTCCCGGGGGAGCATGCCCCCGGACCCCCNGAGGAGAGAGACCACGGCTGTAGGGTGGGAGGGTCGTCACATCAAAGTTTGGCAACGCTTCGGATTTTTCAGGTTAGGGAAAAGAGTATAAATTAAGATGTATGCGCCACATCTATACCATGAGCCCATTGCTCCTAAAAGGTTTTCTGGCACTGACACCAATCAACAGTTGTGCGTTGACTCGGCAGGGATTAAGGCACGTACTGTATATGCCTCTCCCTGCTTCCACCGTCTACACACACCACCAAATGACATACCATCAGTAAGGAAAAGAGTAAGAACTAAAATGTATAGATGAAGAGGCACAACGTGTCTACATCAATGCACTCTTATTAGATTATTTTATCAACTATAAGCTTTATCAAAAAGGAAGGTCTTAAAGTGTACTCTTAAACAACGGATTGGCTGTCTGCCGCCCGAAAACAAACTGGAAGCTGATTCCACAAAAGTGGAGCTTGATAAGAAAAGGCTCTGGCTCCCATTGTACTTTTAGAGACTCTAAGAACAACCAACAACCGTGCATTCTTGCAATGCAATGCCCTAGTTGGACAGTAGGGTGTAATGAGTTCTGTAAGATGGCGCCTGCCCATTAAGGGCTTTGTAGGCAAGAAGAAGAATTTTAAATTCTATCCTGTGTTCTATAGGGAGCCAGTGTAAGGCAGCCAAAACTGGAGTAATGTGGTCCTTTTTCCGAACTTTAGTTAGTACACGTGCTGCAGCATTTTCAATTAGCTGAAGCGACTTAACTGACTTTTTGGTACACCCTGATAATAAAGAGTTACAATAATCCAGCCTTGAAGTAACAAATGCATGGATTAGTTTCTCTGCATCGTTTTGAGGCAAGATATGCCTAATTTTTGCAATGTTATGTAGATGAAAGAAGGCGGTCCTTGAGATTGATTTTATGTGGGCGTTAAAAGATAAATCCTGATAAAATATAACACTAAGATTCCTTAGAGTCAAATTAATGCCATCCATAGTTAATATATCTTTAGATAGTTTGTTTCGTAGATTCTTTGGGCCGAGTACAATAACTTCATAAAATGTAAGGTCATCCACATTTTTAAGTCCTTGAGGCAGTCTTGAATTGTATTTAGATGATTGGATTCATCAGACTTGATGGATAAATATAGTTGAGTATCATCCGCATAACAATGGAAATGTACAGAATGATTCCTTATAATATTGCCTAACGGAAGCATATATAGTGTGAATAAAATAGGTCCAAGCACTGAGCCCTGTGGCACTCCATGGCTCACTTTGGTTATCTAGGAAGATTCATCGTTGACACACACAAACTGAGGGCGGCAGATAGAGAAGCCGAACCAGCCTGAAACGCAGTTCCCTTCTCTCACAGAGTGCTCTAGTCTTTGCAAGTAGGACTATCCGTCGATGTGATAAGAATGCGAGCGACTCGCATCGAACAGATCAAGAAGTAGAGACAAGTCCTGTGTCTGAGGCTATTAAAAGTCATTTGTGACTTTAACCAGAGCTGTCTCTGTGCTGATGATGATGTTCTAAAGCCCTGACAATCTTCAAATAAATCATTGTTTTTTAAGTATCACAACTGTTTTGGCGACTGCTTTTTCACAGAATTTTGATTAAAAACCTCTGGAAAAAGAGGTTTTATGGACTGCTACTTTAAGATGATTGTGGAAGCGGCCGGGGATAATAAAGCACCGATTTCATCATATTTTAATAAAGAAGTGTTAATTGAATTAGTGTCAATTGCGTCTAAGAATACACGTTATGGTTTAGAAGAAAGAATTTA